TTTTTAGGGTTGGAAGGTTAAGCATTTGACTAGACCTTATCCGATCATTGTCCCTATTTTGGTTGTAGTTTTATTGGGGAAGTGAAGATGTCTACTCTCATTGGATAAGTTTGAAGATGCTATGGCTAGCTTTTCCTATGGCTTGGCATTTGGTGAAACAAAAGTGGCAGGTTAATGACTCAGGTAACAGAATCGTTAAACTTCAAAAAAAAAATGCCAAAAGAACTCTTAAGGCCTTATTTTTTTGGAGTAAGAAACAAGCTCAAAGCTCTCACCCCAGTTGAAGGAAGACCTTGACAGAGAGATTACAGTCACACGGAAGTGGAGTGTTCTCCAAACGGGTTATCTTGAAGCTCAGGCCGAGGCTTTGGGTTTTAAGGTACAACTCTTGAACAACACACTAGCTCGGATTATGACATGGTGGAAACAACGAGCTAAAGTGAAGTGGATTGAGGAAGGTGATGGGAATACACGCTTCTTCCATTCTATGGCTTCAGCTAGGAGAAGAGCTAAATGCATTGATGCTATCAAGCAAGAAGATGGGACGGTGGTGACAGAACAAAATGAGATTTCTAAGGTGTTTTATGAGTTCTTTGAGAGGAAATGGCATGGTCAAAATATGAGGAGCAGGGAATGGCATCACTTGAAGAACAAAGGAATTGCTTAGCCTAGTTTACTGATGTTTTGGATCGGGATGTCACTAAGGAGGAAGTGTGGGAAGTTGTTTTGTTCACTTTGGCCGGAACAGGGCATCGGGGAGAGATGGGGTGACGGCCTCGTTCTTTAAATTGTTTTGGGAAATTGTTGGAGATCAAGTCATTATGGCATGCTTAGAATTCTTTTTGACTGGATTCATGGATCCAATGTGGAAGAAGACTGTGGTGGTGTTAATTCCCAAAGTTGCAAATCCTGATCATCATGCTAAGTTTAGACCAATCAGTTTTGTGTCAAATTTTTATAAGATTGTTGCTAGGTTCTTGTTAACTGATTTAAAGGGATTTTGCCAAGGCTGATTTCTGAGGAGTAGGCTGCCTTTGTCCATGGTAGATCCATTTCAAATCAATGCTTGTTGGGACAAGAGTTAATGCATAAATTCAAGACCTCTAAAGCAACTAAAGGATTTCTTGCATTGAAGGTGGTATGGAACAGGCTTTATGACAAGATGAGCTGGAAGACGTTGGAATTTATTTTGGAACGTATGGGGTTTCCTGCTAGATTCAGTTCATGGGTTCTGAATGTTGTCCAAGGCCCGAGGTTTTTCTATACTTATTATGGACAACCTCTTAAGATATTATAGCAGAATGTGGATTCCGTCAAGGATGCTTGTTGTCTCCATACTTATTCATCCTTTGCTCGGAGTTGCTGTCGGCGAATTTCATCAGAATTTCAAGGAGCTGGGAGTTCCAGTCAAGGTGAGGGGACCTCTGGTCTCCCATCTTCTTTATGCTGATGACGTTTTATTTTTTGCAGGTGCTAGTATTCCAAATGTCAGGAAGATTACCTCAATCTTGGAGAACTATTGTTCATGGACTGGTCAAAGAGTCAATAGAGGAAAATCAGCCATTCTTTGTTCAGCAAATCGACCTCATCTTCAACTAAGGCTCGACTTGCTAAGATCACGGGTTGCAGAAAAGTTGAGGAATGGAGTTACTTGGAATTAAATTTGTATTGAGAAGAATTGTGAAGAAGGATAATGCTTATTTGGTGCAACAAGCTTGTGCCAAAACAGTGACATGGGGGAGAGGCATCTCTCAATGGCTGGTAGAGTTACTTTGATAAATTTTGAACTGATTCCTTCTTCAGTTTATCTTGTGACGCATTCTACTGTACCAAAATATGTTCTTTATGATATTGAGAAGGTTTGCAGGAGTTTCCTTTGGGTTTTGGATGCTCAACACAAGAGCATTCATTATTTGGCTTGGGATAGTTTTTGCTAGACCGAGGATAAGGGGGATTTGGGGTCCATGCTAGCAGAAACTGGGTTGGGACCTCTTCGTGCTAGGATAGCATGGGATTTATCAGTAAACAGAACTCCCTTCTTCATAAATGTTTGGTACAGAAATACGGAAGATGGCCATGGGTGGATGGATTTAATGATGGAGACTCAGGCGTGTGGAAATGATTTGTAATGGGGCTTCAGTAACTTGAGCTGCTGTGTGAGATGGAAGATTTGTAATGGCCGAAATATTGAAGTATTGAATCATGTTTGATATGGGATAGGCTCATAGCTACATGCCAACTCTTCTGTGATATATCAGCTATTGAAGATCTCATGGTTTCGGCTCCTGGATCAAGGATGGTAGTTGGGGATGAGAATAAGCTCTTCTTTGCTTTGGAGCTATTTTAATGGAGAGGATAATGGAGATAAAATCTGGGTGATTTGGGAGAGGATGAACTAGAGTTAATGAATGAATCCTATTGGATCCTTCTGTTTCTGCAATAGTCATATAACAGCAAGTTCACGGAGGATTGGATGACCCAAGTTGCATTGCCTGGAAAGTGCGGATTAAGACCTCGGAGAGTTTGTTTTTTGTGGAGAATATTTAAGAATATTATCCCTACAAACGGTTGGCTGTGTTCACGGGGATTGAGGTTGATTTAAATTGCCCAGTTGCGTGTGGAATGGTGGCGGATTTGGATCATGTTGGAGGCGTTGCAAGCAGTTTATTGGGTATTCTGGAGACATTAGATGCGTGGGAATTTCAGACCCCTCGGTTTTTACCTGTATTGCTTGGAAGTTCCAGATGGCGTTAAAAGTAAGGAAGAGTCATAGCATTGGGTTAAAAGAAGGACGTTGGAATTGTGATTCTGGACTGGCATGGCAATCTGATTGTGGCAGCTAGATGGAAGTTATGCCATTGGGACAAGCACACATGTTGAGCTAATGGCTGTTCATTCATTGGTAAGCTTATTGCAAATTGGATGTTTGAGCTTAAAGGATTAATTGTGGAAGGGGATAATGCTAGTGTAATTAAATACATGATGGAGTTTAAATACAGAGATATGTGGAAGCGAAATACTGAAGAGTGGACTTGTTGTGATTGGATTAAGCAATTCCAACAAGTTCTTTTTCATACATACACACAGGAGATTCAACAAGCTGCACACTTTTGTGCACATAGTGCTATAGATAGTTCTTTTTTGTTTGGGATACAGGTGATTGTAATAGGGTACTCCTCAAGAATTTTTAGATATTCTTGAGGAGATAGTAGTTTTTTGTTTGAAAGGGGCAGCTAGCCCATTAGCTTTTTGGTTGTAATAGTGTCTTTGATGAATGCAAATAAAAAAATTACACTCTCTGTCTCTCTCTCTCTGTCATCTCTCTTATCTCTCTTGCTTTCATGCTTTCTCTTGCTCTCTCTCTCTCTCACTTTTTCCCTTTCTCCATCTCTCTCACTCATGTTTTTTTTTTGCTCTCTCTCTATCTCTCTGCTCTCTCTCTCTCTTTATCTTGCCTTCTCTTGCACTCTTGCTCTCTCTCTCTCTCTCACCACTTTTTCTCTTTCTCTATCTCGCTCTCTCTCTTCTCTCTCTCTCAGTTTCCCTTGCAGCTCCTCTCTTCTCTCTCTCTCTCCTCTCTCTCTCTTTTTCCTTTCCCTCTCCTTTGCTTCTGTCTCGCCCTTCTCTTCCATCTTCTCCTTCAGCTTTCTCCTCCTTTTCTGCTCTATTCGCCTCTTCTCGCTCTCCTTACCACTCCCGTCAGTCTCTCTCCTCTCTTTACTCTCTCTCTCTTTCCCTCCTCTCTCTTGCTCTTTCTCACTCCTCTCTCTTCGCTCTCTTTGCTCTTTCTCTCTCTCCTCTGTCTCTCTCTCTCTTTCTCTTACTCTCTTTTTCTCTTCTTCCTCTCTCTCTCCCCTCTCTTCTCTCTCCTCTCTCTCTCTCTCTACTTTTGCTCTCTCCATCTCTCACTCTCTGCTCTCCCTTTTCCCTCTCTCTCTCCCCCTCTTCTCTCACTATTATTCTCTCTCTCCTCTCTCTCTCTCTCTCTCTCTCTCTCTCTATTCTCTCTCTCTCTCTCTCTCTCTCTCTCTTTCTCTTCACTCTCCTTGCTCTCCATCCCCCCACTCTCTCTCTCTCGTCTCCTCTACTCACGGAAGGGAGTGCTTTCAATCGAGATAGCAAGCTAACCTTCACTAGAAGACATTCCCCTCGACCTGTTGGAAGGGATAGGGATACAGATTTGGATGCCTCAGTGTATTCAGATCCTTGATTATGCAGATTCATATGCCTCTTTTTTATTACGATGCAAAGAGATCGATCGCACTTCTTCTATTCAAGATTCTTTATCTGGAACTAAGCATAATCTT